GGTTTTAGGGTTTAGGGTTTATTAGTGTTTAGGGCCTGTAAGCCTACAAGGTGTAGGGGTTTTAAGGGGGTTAAGGGGTTTGGGGTTCAGGGTTTTACGGGCTTAAGGTTTAGTGTTTTAGGGTTTGGGGTTTGGGGTTCAGGGTCTGGGGTTTAAGGCTGTGGTTTAGGCTTTAGGGTTTAGGGGCTTGGGATCCGTGGTTAGGGCCTGGGGCTCTTGGATTGTCTTGTGCGAACGTTTCTCTTGACCTCTGTTCCCGAGCGTTGGTAAACTCATTCAAGAGCCCTTTGTTTTATAGCAAGAGGCTAGACTTGCATTCTATTAGAGTATGGAAATGCCCTAAATAATGCATACTCCCGGTATGTATGCCAGTATATGATAGGAAGAATTTGCATCCTCAGGGACGGTTGGGAGATCTATTCTTAAAGCGGAGGGGTTTTGGGCGGTCTGGCAAAGGTCGACGTCTGAGGATGTTTGGCTGTTGGTGTGTCCTGTCGGTCTAACGGCCAGAGTTGTTTTTGGCTTAGGGGTAAAAGGCTTCCGGCTGCAGTACTCAAGGGGGTTTAGGGGATTAGGATTTTGGAGTTTGTGGTTCAGATTTAGATAGGGGTTTAGAGTTCAGGGTTCCGGGGTTCATGGGCTGGCTGCTTGGAGTTCAGAAGGCGCTTGCGCTCGGTGGTAGATAAGCTGCCAAGCAAGCTACAGTTCATAAATCCTGTCTGGTCGGTGAGCAATTCTGCGTCCACATTCCACTAGGAACGAGCAGGATCCGTGTTGGAGTTGAATATTGGAATTCCTTACCGCAGAGAGCATAAGGGATCCATAAGCCGTTAACCCGTAACCCGAACCACAGACCATAAACCCTAAACCCTGTATAGCCTGAAAGTATAGGGAACGAATGTATTGCTCAGTGGTATTGAGTTCAGGGATTGACGGTTTAGGGTTTCAACATGCGAGGGGTTAGCGTATGAACTTATTCTGGGCCCCAATCTCTCAGCCCTGGCAGAGCAAATGCTGAACGCTTTCGCTGCTGAGAAGCAAGTTGACGTTCTCGGTTGGGAACTTGAATCTAGGGTTTACCTGGGCCCCAAACAAATTAGTAAAATAATAGCCCAAAAACAGCCCCAAGGGCAATTGTTTGAAATACTTTTGGGGTTCAGGTAGGGACCATTCACAAACGCATGGTGTTTCCACTGGATTAAGGCTTCTATTGTGGGGTTAAGGGCCAAGCGAACATGTCCCAAACTGGAAGTTTCTCAAAACGATAATCCCCCTTAAGTAGATAGAATATGGGGTATATCGGGACCCTATCATAATATACCCAAAGCCATATTGTATCTACTTAACGGGGACTATACCCCTGTAGAATCCGTACTACGGCACACCAAACATCTCTTTGTTAATGCCTACACAATGGTACCTTTTAAGCCCTCAAGCCTTAACCCCTTTGCCAAAGAACCCTAGACCCCAAAATCCTCAAACCCATCCCTAACTCCTATAACTATAAACCCCAAGAATCCTAGAACCTTAAACCACAGAACCCCTAAACCCTGCGTCAGCCATAGTCAAAACCCCTAGTACCTCCCTTAATCACCCCTACGATTCCCCTAAATAATCCCCTATATCACCCCCCTTGCAGGGTATCTAGACCCTAAACCCTAAGCCCCTACAAAATCCTGTAAGGAGTTTAGATTTGTACAGGTGCCTGGATGGAGCCTGCGAACAGGCCAAGACCCATGATGGGCAGAGGAATGATAAAGGGCACCAAGAAGCACAGCACCTCAGCAAGGGTCCAACGTTGGGATTGTATTGGAATATAGGGTTACATAGCGGTTCCGTAGGATTACCGTAATAGTACTGTTAAAGAAAACTTAAACTTACTACACTGTTTAGGGTTTTTCAGTGTTGAGAGTCTAGGGTTCAGGCCTTAGATTTTAGGGGTTCGGCACGCCAAGAAGCACGGTGCCTTAGCTGCTTTGTGAATAGGCCAGCAAAGGCTGCAGCTTCGGTGCTTTACGCTTCTTATTTGGGGTTGGGAAGGGGGGGTGTAGAATGCAACGCATTGTAACTAGGTTCCTTCTAATGTTTCTGGAGGACGGTGAGTTAGGAAATCTGGGTTACGTGAAATTTCAAAGAATATGGACATCTTGGGTTACGGTATGGGGGCTAGGTACTTGAAGGCATTCGGAAGCTCTAAATCTTTACTTGGGCTTTAGATTGGGTACTGCCCCAACCAGTAAGAGTCTGCAGCATGGGTAATATTACAAAAAAACTGAACCCTAAAACGGCTTTATCATTGGCATCCAACCGTCACTGAGTAGAAGCAGTATCCGAGCTGTATGACATAAGGTTTGGGAGGTATATGGAGGGTATGCGAAGAGATAAACGAAATACATAACTTCAACCATGTGTAGACTGAAATGGCTTTGTTGGCATCTCCGCAAATCTAGCCACATCAAAGCAGAAACGCCAGGCAGTCTTCATTTGTGCAATAACATCTTGGCATATGCTTAAGACTGCCTTGACCAAGAATGCCAAAAAGGAAGTCCGCTGAAAGCGCACAGGCTTTACTTTTGAGCTTGCCTCATGAGAGCGCGTGATGATAGCGACAAGTCTGAGTGTATAGCCTCCGTTAAGAAGATAGAACATTGCTTAGAATAGAGTAAGATCCCCATATACCGCACATACTATCTCCTAAGGGAGACTATGGCCTTTTTTGGCGGGTATCAGAAAGTGGGCATTTTCCAAAACCGCGCAGAATCAGGGACCAATATATATGAAACATCCTGATGCATCAACGTCCCAATCCAGAACAGGCTATCAGACCCTATAAGGCCCACATTCTACCCTTTTCAGGCCCGAGTAGGAAACTTCAGGGCTTAATCTTAGTGGGCACCATGGCCAGGGGGGGTGCGTTCATGTACCCCGTATTGAAAGCCCTAACACACAACTGAAGTCTCACGTGGAGAGTACCCATGTGGGTTCCCTTATGTAAGGCCCTACACGAGGCTTGTAAGGGGAAGAACGGGAGGAATACTGGGCAAATTCAAACCTTACATTAGGGCAAACAGCCCGCCTGAAAATTCCTTGTGCAACATACCCATAAAGGAAACCAGAACCGTAACCCTAACCCCAAGGCTCCAACCCCTACCGTCAGCTCATCCGCAACGACGTTTCCGAAGAGTCGGAAGCTCAAGGACAGCCTTACTCAACGCTGGTTACCCTTCCCGAAGGGTTTAGAAGGTAAAGGGGTAAAGGGTTTATGGTAGAACTTAAGGTTAGAAGGCTTCATATACGCATGTAGTATGTACTTGGGCCTGAAACCCACAATTTCATGAGAACCCCTTTACCTGAACCCCAAAGATAGGTAAAATAATAGCCCAATCGCCTAAAAATAGCCGAAAAGGCCATTGTTCTACATTCGTTTGGTGTTCAGGTAGGCCTGAGTATATACCACATACCCACATGGAGGCTTCTGGCCAAGCAGAATCCCAAAACAAACAAGCAAGGCCACATCAGGTACAAGGGTTCAGGGCTTAGGGAATCATTTTTAGGGTTTTGGGTTTTGGGTTTTAGGGTCTAGGGTTTAGGGTTTGGGATCCCAATAATAACAACTATAATGCCACGTAGGGTGTGGGGTGCCCCAAAAACGTTGATGATGAGGGTTTAGGCTTGAGAGCTGAGGTTCAGGGTCTTCGGGGAAAGACTACCGTCCTTCTAGAAAGGGCCTGTGGTGTAGAGCCGAAATCATTATCAATACGATCCCCCTATAACCCTCAGATGAGTCTAGTGTAGTGCACACCAGAACCCTATTCTGATAAAACAGGCCCCTACGTTATAGACCCTAAACCCCAAACCCTAAACCCCTGGAAAACCCCAAACCCCAAACCCTAAACCCTAGACCCCACACCCTAAACCCTAAACCCTAAACCCCAAACCCTAAACCCCCCTTCCCACAAGCTAAGCAAGAACGAGTTGTAGGTGCCCCCACGGCTTCGTGAAGTCCTCCAAGATGTTGATGGGCCTGAGTTGCGGACGCAGGGTTCAGGTCGGGGCTTACGGCTTTAGGTTTTAGAGCTTAGAGTTTAGGGCTTAGGGTTCAGGGTTTAGGGCTTAGGGTTTTAGGGCTTAGGGTTCAGGGTTTGGGGTTTAGGGCTTACGGTTTAGGGTTTCGGATTCAGGGTTTAAGACTCAGGACGTATGACCGTTCAGCTTCTAAGGGGCGCTTAGAACTTCTGAGTAAGATTCATCCCCTGAACCCCTGAAGTTTGCAAACCAGTGGTGTTTTGGGCTGCTTCTGGTGGGGTTTCGGCGACTATGTTAACTACTTTGCGGGTTCGGGTACTGTTGATACTAACTGCTATGAACTGAACATGCTAATAGTGCCCCGGTTAGGAAGTTTACTAAACCCAACACCTTAAACTCCAATCCCTGAAGCCCGGGTCAAGGTCATGCAGATTGTTAGTATGCGCCTTTGGAATCCGTGGAGGCCAGAGTACAGTGAACTCAAAATGTATAGAAGGGACTTCGCAAGTATAGATATAACCCTTATAAGCCACGTAGTAACTGTAGTAATCGACATTGTAGTCACCTACTTACGAGGTCCACGAAACCCTCCAAGTGAAGTTTGGACAGGGTATCCTGGCAGTGTCCCTAAGATTGGCAAGGAATACCGGAGACCCTTGAGCCCGAAGCGCTAAACTACAAATCCTTAAAATCCTCGCACATGTCATTGGTAGTTTCCAGAGCTAGGGAGACCCCAAACATTATAAACTGAGAGATACTATCCTCCTTATTCTGGGAACCCCTCAAAACCGGTACCCCCGCATTTTGGGAAACCATAATCCCTGTACAATCCCACTTTCAATTTCATGTTCCATTTTCTATACCATTTGATTCTCCAGTATCCGGGTAATGTCCGTATATAACCCCTACTACTACATAACCGAATTTTGGGAGACCACCAACCCTAAAACCCTAAACCCTGAACCATTTTGTTGAGACGCAGCAGGATCGGGGTCGGCTTCACATAGCGGGCGAAATAGCCGAGGCCCTTCTTTGCCAGTCCACCTGGCTGAAGGGGTTTAGTTCTAAGGGTTCTAGGTTTGGGTTTAGGGTTTAGGGTTTAGGGTTTGAGGTTTAGGGGCGAGGGTTTCAGAGAACTTGCCCGAGGGGTCCAAGTACCCAACCTTGAGTACATGGCATTGGGGTAATTACCATAATGGCTGTAGTATAGGCTTTGGGAAAGTATATAAATATTGAATACTTGCACCCCTAGGCTTAGAAGGGTTTCGGGGTATAGCATTTAGGTACTTCTGGTGGGGTTTAAGGTTTAGGGCTTATAAAATGAAGGCTGTAGGAGCAGGTTACGAGTACATACTCATCCTGGCTTCTACCTCGTACCCCGTCTTGGATATTCCTGTATTTTCGTGGCGCAGTACACCTCATGTAAAATTCATACGTGGGCACCCAACAGTAAGTAAACTAATAGCCCCAAACCCCTAAAAGTAGCCCCAAAGGCCATCATTTTACATACTTTCGGGGTTCAGGTACTCGAAACACTATAAGACTTCCCAGGCTTCTTTATGAAGCATACATGCTTGGCCATTGACGTATGTATCTCTAACGGCCTCAAAAGAAAGCGGGGTGGGCAGCAAGAACCAATGGATTTTGCGGCTGAGAACATCGCATGTTTCCACAGAAGCGTGCAACTTCAACTACAACGTAGCTGACAATAACAGCAATACTGGATGATCACAAAGCTAATAAGACCATGAAGACTCGGGAAAGTAGTGCTTTTAATCCTTTCCCTGACACCCACCGCAACCAAATATTCAACGTTCGCATGGCAACGCAGACATATGGTTGGGGGCCATATTGCATATCAGGGGGATGTCATGGGCTGTGAAAGAGATTGCAGATTCCCAGCTCGGCGCCTCCGAAGTAGGCCAGGGAGGTGAGGAGGCTGAGGGCCACGGTGGTGTTGATGTTGTTGGTGGGGGCTGCCAGCTCGCCTGCCGGGATCTCAAAGAGCTTCCAGGGGATCAGGGCACCGGACCAGTTGCTCACAAAGATGAAGAGGAAGATGGTCGTGACAAAGGGCACCCAGGGGCGGTAGAAGGACTCGCCCAAGTTGTTCTTGGCAATGTCAGTGGTGAATCCTAGAGCCATCTCCTGAAAGTTTCGGACGCCGCTGGGGGCGCCGAACTCGCTGACGGGCGCCTTGGCGTGGCGGGCCACCTGAGCGCAGACGCTCACCATGGTGCGGGCGGTGAAGAGCCCGGCCGTCACCAGCGTGGAGCCCGAGAAGGCACCTGGGGACACGGCTGCCGGCAGCGCAGGGCTCTGCGCAGCCGCACCTGCTGCTGGCCGGGTGGGCGCCGCCTGCGCCGCACCGCGCAGCTCCTGGTTGAGCTCCACACCAGCGCCCCGCGGCGCCACGAAGGTGCGAGCGGCGTGGAGGGCCAAGCAAAGCCCGGCGGCGGCGGCCGCGCCGCGGAACAACGCTGAGCGGGTGCGAGCCATAGCTGCTTTCGCTAAGGAGATGATTGGCTGCTAATTAATGGATCCTCCTGCGCCCTGGGAGCCAGAAGCAAGTCCGCCGCGATCGCGTGCATGCGTTTCAGCCACCTGAGCATAAACGCCGGGTGCAAATTCAATCTCGAACTGTCCAAGTACCCCCAGTTCTGTTTTGAGGTGCCAATTTCCAACCAGCCAACCAGATTACAGAATTTGGCTCCAAACACCTTGACCCGCAAAGATTACCACATGCAGCTCCACAAGGTATTCAAGCCAGACTGCCTTGTTTTGTACCCTCCGCCAGGGTTGCGCAGAATTCTGCAGGACGCAGCTGAGTTAGTATCTACTGTTGTGGTGCTTCTCTGGTGAAAGAACAGTATGGTAGGTGATTATGCCCTAGGTGTGACTTCTTCCACGAATGGGCGCTCACTGGAAAAACTCTTCTTGTCCTGGGTCAGGCAGGTCTCTCAGGGTCCCAGTTTTCAAACAAGTGGGAAGTAAGGCCTAAAAGCCATGCTTGTCGAAGTATTTGGCACCTGACGTTGAGGCTCTTAGGCGCGATCGGGTGAGCGCAGACGTTGGGTCTAGGGTTTGTAGGGTTTAGTTTATTCTGTATGCTGCATCTGCCTTCATACGCATAGGGGAGAAAGGGTGGTGCAACATTTCTTCGTCCATTGTATCGATGTAGAAAAGTTTACGTACATGGTCACTGTATGCCTGGCTGTATACAAGCTTCCACTAGATCGCGTGCTAGTTATTTCTTTGAGGCTGAGCAAGTCCTGTACCAGAAACTCCAGGGAACCCGATATCCCACCCAATACGCCCACACCTGCACCGTGGAGCCAGCATAGGATAGGGCTGTAAGGGCCTTGACTGTGTCCAAGCCAGTGCAATGCCGCTAAGGATTTCTAGGCTGTAGCAGTTTACTGGAACGACTTCCCCTGAAGACACTGAAACCTAAACCCCAAATACTAGCCCCCCCCAAAATCTCAAACCCTAAAGCCTATGTAAAACTAAATCCTATAAATCTTAGCCCCCAGCCCTAACCCCAAACCGCCTAAACCCTGAATAGTCCAAACCCGAAGCTTTAGATGTAAGAGCTGCAGTCAGAGTCAAAATATCCCTATATTAGGGACCCGTATGTCTACAGATAGGGGTTCCTTAATTCGACTAACATTAACAGTAGCTCAAATCCAAACTCCTTCTTAACCTGAAGGCTGTAACTTTTACCCAGCGGCTGCTATGCAGCCTCTTTTGGGAAGTATACTATAGGGCTTGAAGTCAGAGACGAACAGCATAGCAGCTACCGGGTCAGGGTGGAAGTATGCCGTGGAACAAGAGGGCCACAGATCTTTTAAAGCTGATTCTAAGTGACCTTCAGGGTACACATTATAAAGGGTAATGTAGACCTGTGATTAATAAACCCCCTCTTATTAAGGGCCGTAAAGGATCCCTATTATAATCACTATTAAGGAGAGGGGTTTATTAATTAGTGGTCTACACTATAGACAAACCCTAAACCCTATAGACTAGGTTTTTGAGAGCGCCCCAGGCCGACGCCTAGCAGGCCATGGCTCACAACCAAAGATGTTTCTTGCTCCCCTCCCAATGATATTAAAAGACCCCAAACCCACAATCCCTCAGGGTCCAAGGACCCGAATAATAGGGCTCTAGGTCCCAAATACCATTAATGTTAGCATATTTGGGCCCTTAAACCCTATTATTTGGGTCCTTGGACCCCTTTTAGGGCCTTAGGGAATATTAAATAATCCGGCTGTGATATTTGAATACTTGGGGAGGGGATTACAGAGTGTGAACCTGAAACTCTTTTTGGATTTCAGGCTTAGGGTCTTAGGGTTTAGGGTTCAGGGGGTCTACCTGAGCCTCAACTGTATGCAAAATGGGCGATTGTTTTACCTACTTTTGGGGTCCAGGTAAGTTAGAGGCTAAGGGTCCAAGCGCCTAAAGAAGTTGTCATACTTGCCCAAATCCCCGCCGGCAAGGCTTTACTTCAGTCCTCGGTAATTCAGCTAGTTTAGGTTTAGGGCTTAGGGACCCTGGAATTGGGAAATTGAAGCGCTCGCCCTTTCAGACACCCCAAACCCTAAACCAAAAACCCTTAACCCCTAAGCCCTAAACCAAAAAACCCTTAACCTTTAACCCCAAAGCCTAAAACCCAAACCCTAAACCCCAAACCCTGAACCCCAAACCCTAAACGCCAAACGCTAAACCCCAAACCCAACACCTTTAGATCAAGAGCTCCTCCTCCGATATGGGCGTCGCAGCCGCTCACTCCAGGGCCTCTTTGTGACAGTAACACACATCTACCAAGACCCTCCTAGTACCTAAGGGTTTAGGGTTTAGGATTTAGGGTTTAGGGTTTAATGTAAAGTGATAGCCCTAAACCCCTAATGCTAGCCATAAAGGCAATGATTTTACAGACTGTTGGGGTCCTAGTACCCTTGATTGGGATTTAAGGTTTGGGGTTTATAGGGCTTATGGATTCGGGTTTCGGGTTCTATTGTACCAAGACCCTCCTGGTACCCTTGATTGGGGTTTAAGGTTTAGGGTTTATAGGGCTTGGAGGCTTTTGGGTTTAGGGCTCCGGGTTTCGGGTATAGGGTACCGAGACCCTCCTAGTACCATGAATTGGGAATGTGCGGCCCCTAATAGTGGGTCGACGGTCGACATTGGAAGCTGTGGGTTGAGAAATCAAGGTCCGTAAGCCAGAAATCCTAAACCCAAATCCTAAATTCGAAGCCCCGAGTCCTAAACCCTAAACCTTCTAGACCCTAAACAATTGAGAGATTCCGGGCCGCAGCTTCTCTCATTTGCCTGGTGCCTAGTCGAAGAATGCGGGATCAGATCCCCATGGTAGGTTTAGGGTTTAGTTCGGGATTCTGGAGTAACTCCTTTCATCCTTAATCATCCAGTCATTCAGCAGTGAGACACCCGAGCCAAAATGAATTCTGGAACTGTCACTTCCTGTTGCTATTTCACTCTAAGCCCCCTAAACATTAAACCCCCGTTAATATTAACCTGGGTTGATGTAACGTTGAAATTGGGGATCTCGCAGGGTTCAGGGACTACCGTCTGGGGACTGCCCCCACACCCTCTCTAACGTCAAACCTGTCCTACATATTGAGGCATGCTTAGTATTAGGGGTGGGCACAAGGTGCGGAAAATGGTTGAAATTTAAACATCCTAAGTACGCCCAATGTTGGCGATTCTGGCATGATCTTATACTGAAACAATGCACCCTAGGGCTCCCAGTTACCTGAATAGTAGGGTACTGGGATATGTAACTATAGGGTATATAGAACCCTGTTCCCACTGTCTAGGTAAGTGGAGCCCTCGTGGCAGGGTGCCTATAGTATCAGTAGTCTCAGAGAAAGTGGATTCTTTCGGGATCTACTCCATCCCCTACCAAACAGGCCTCGCAAAATAGTGCGCCCAACGGTCCATGTAGCTATAGACTATAGAGCACATACTTGGGTGGAAGCCCTAGATTGGGTTCTTTCTTGGAGGTATCTGACACTCTTACAATTGGGCTATACCTCAACTAACAGGGCTTATGCCTCAAAATATTAGGCTTCCCTAAATCCTAAAAACCACTTAAGCAGATACTAAGTCCACGAACCTTCCCGTGAACATCCTGTTTAGGGTTTAGGGTTTGGAGTTACCTACATTTGTCACCATTAGCAAGAGGAGGGGCCGTCACCTTATTCAGGTGGTACAGCGAACGGCACCCACAAACGCGATCGCGAAGCAACCTTAGGTTGGCCCCTAAAACCCTTTGACAAATATTAGTATTAAGCTTCAGCCTTGCAGACACGTTTCAGCCTGCGCCCCCTGCTATGGTGGGTGGCCTAGTCCAGCCTGACCATCCCGCGTGAAATTTCAGCCTCGCCCAAGTTCGAGGCTTTGGCGGTACGCGGCGAACGCATTTTTCGTTCGTGCTGGTTTTTTTGAACTTTTGGAGGCCGCCGGAGGCCCCGAGGCCCCTGGAGCCCCCTGGAGCCCCCTGGAGGCCCCTCGAGGCCCCTGTGGAGGTTCCTGGAGCCCCTAGAACGGCCTGGTACAATGATGGGTTTCGCGTTTTGGGTACACGTAATTGGGATTTGCGGTGGATTATGACAAGAGCACTTTTGCGAGATACGAGGAGTTTTAGCTACCGTTCTGTGGCTAGACCCCAATATGCATTTAGAC